ACAGCCTGAAGAAGTTCTGTATCTAAAGAAATCAAGCCAGGGAAACAGTACTATGCTATGATTTTTCACATACAACATTTTTCTCTAACAATGTTGCACATTAATTTACAATTCCTCATTAACAAATAAATATTTTGGGAAAACTGATAGATAGTTGTGTAAAAAAATTCCTTGTTTCTGAAATGAAAGTGATTGCTTGGTTTAGAAAAAACATATGTATATGCTCTTTTGTCATTTTTAGGTTAATGAATGGGGTTTTCAGTACACATTGTACAATTTCTTGAATCTTGAAAAGTTTTCCTCATAACTCCTATTCCAAAAGCTATTTACTTCTCTACAATATAGAGAAATGTGTTTTTACAGTATTTTTAATGATAATAGACAGCAATGCTGTTCAATATATAAAATCTAAATTCCATAGTTTGATTCTTAGAAAACAAATAGAAGCTGTCTCTCCAGGTTTTACAGACCTGATATGATGAAGTTTTCAGAATTGTTTATAATAAATATATCATCAGAAATAGTGAATGCTTAAGGCACAACCACAAATAAGGAAATTATTTGGGTACTTTTGCATGACTAACATACATTGAAGTTTCCAAAAGTAATTCTTCAGTTTCAGAGGCTGATATGTATTATGTGACTTACTAGCAATATTGACAAATATATTAATTTGCAACATCACAGTGAGTCTCTTCACTGAGGTGGAAAAAAAAACAAGAGATGTTCAGAATCACTCTGTTAAATCTAAACTTCCACATATTGGTAGAAAACAGGTAAGTTTAACATCAATTTTAACATAATGGCAATTTGTGAAAAGATGGTTAAGATTTTCGAGGCTATACACCCCTAACAGAGAATCAGTTTTTTAAACACTATTTGCAGTTTTCCTCTGCTGTCTTCAAAAATGCGTCCAAATGTTAAACTTGCCTGACCTTTAGAAATTATCTAGAGCATAGTAGTTAAACAAACATTTCAATAATTTGACATAGTATTCCCCATTATTTGCTGACTAAAGTCACTTACTATAAATAATTGTCAGAAACTAACAAGTAAAACTAGCACTTATATTAACTTGTTAATTTTCAAAATGTTTTTGTGCAGCATTTTAATTACAAACAGTATACATGATACAAGGTACACTGCCTAGAAGTATTTTTACCTGACATTCAGAAAAAGGTATTTGGTTGCTCAGTGAAAACTACTGTATTAAAAAGAACTTCTAAATTAGAAGGCTCAAGACCACTTTCCTTCCTTTAAAGCTGCGATGAAATACATACTACACCTCCTTTGAACATCGTAATAGTTTAAAAAAGACAATAATACCCATATTTATACAGTCATTCAGTACCTACGGACTGAAACCTGTTGTATTGGTTTAAATTAAGAAAATAGGTTACAATACCATATTAAGAGACTCATTATTACCAATTCATTGACAAACTGAAAAGCTTGCTTAAGAGGGGTCCCCCTATTGTCTCCTGGTAGATATTGTTTATCATTTCATTAATAATTGAAAAGACAGAGTATAGTTACATCTGAGCATTACATTAGGCCAAGGAGATCTAGAAGCCAGAGTGAGAAATTTTGATATACAGGAGTAAAACTCACAATAATCATATTAAACTGAAAACATGATCTAGGAGAAAATTAAGATGTAATTAAAGAAGGTAAACAGTTTATCTAAGAATAATCAACTAAGAAAATAAAGGATGAGGGCAAATAACATGTAGCTATTCTGGTATTTTGGTGGTGAAAGTTACCATGAGCTGAAAGTGATCAGCAATATAATACCTTTGCATAAAAGACAATACATTACCTGTAAGCTAATCTTTGTGGTTTACTTGTTGGTAAAGTTACAGCTGTATTTTTTTTAATAGAGCATTCTCTATCTAAGGAATACAGAAGAAATTAAAGGAATTCAGCAGAAAATATTAAATACCAGAGGTCTAAAAAAGGTGACAAAGAAAGCAAAAATTAAATAATGAGCAGTCTTTCAGTTGAGAGGAAACTGAGTGGAGATGTAACAGATGACAGGGAAAAACATCCAGAATGGGCATGCAAAGTTAAAGCTTATTCTGCTCACTCTGCAGGAATACTACCTGTTTGTGGTGACCAGAAGGAATCCTTTCTCAAAGGCTATCCCTCACTTTCTATAAATTTATAGTATGTACTCCTCAGTGCCTGGGCATTGAACTTGTAAATAGGATTCCGTTTTGTATCAGTTTCTTGCTTCTGTAGATACACTACACACAGTTAACTAGTTTCACCACGATTTTATCTACTTCAGCCACACCAGATGGGTTTAACAATGACGGAACAAATTTTCTATCACGGATCAAGAGAAGCCTTTAAATACAGCAGTACAAAGTCTGCAAACAGAACTGCAAGAAAAAAGCTGTGTAGCAACTACAGTTTTCAGGTAAAAGCAGATACCTCAGCTGTTTCTCCAGGTATACCTTTACCCAAAATCCCAAGGTGCACGTTATCTTCAAAAGCTGGTAACTTCCCATACTTCCACACCTTAATGCCACTTTATATGCCTCCCTTACTCTTCACTTGGCCATTTTCATTGCTTAAGATTTCACACACTGTAAAAAGAACATTTGCTCAACACACAGATTTAAGCTCCTGACTTCTAACACAAGCTCAGCTTTTGATAGCAACAGCTACATACAATTTGGACATGTTATCAGAACCTAAAGTTCATTAGCAAACAAAGTATTTTGTTTTAGTATATTCTAAAAAAGAGAAATTCCATATTCCACCTCTGTGTAGCTTAAGCACTGCTGCATCAATAGGACTTCTGTGAGCTTAACTGAGATCCCGATAGGAATAAAATTAATTCAAATACCTCTTTACAGAACTGAGTACTAAATCCATAGGCATGTAAATATTAAAACTATAACCAAAATCTTAAATAAGACCCAACATCACTACGTTAATTCATTCTTACCTTTTAGTTACATTCTAGCAGTGATTTTATAAGCAGTACATTCATTTTCATTAAAAAATGTTGAAAAGTTAATCAATGACAGTTCAGAATGACACCTTCTTTTAAAGCACTACACATGCTTACTCCTATGTAAATGAAGTTTTAACTGTCATGCTGTCAAGAAAAATGATAGTTCCCTAGTCATACCTTATCTTTTTAAGAAAGTAAGAACTACAGAAGACTTTATAATAGAAAATTGTTTTATATGTTTAACAAAATCTGCCTTTTGCATGAAAGCCCAGAGAGATGTTATATTTGAAGGTGACAGTGAAAAAAAAAAAAAAGGCAAAACCCCAACCAACGAACAAAACACACGAAAGTGGGAAGCATTTCAAGCTTTATACGTGCCTCTGTTTCTATGTCCTTAGCCCTCTCTCAGCTTAATACAATATAAAAGTCCATGAATAAAAACCTGACCATACATAAAGCAGTCTTAGAGCTGCACTGGGTCATTAACTGTGATAGACCTTCTTAAGGAATATAACTATGTGCTTATTAAGAAAAGTCCCAGCCTGAAAATCACCTAAAGTACAGTGCCTTTTCAATGTCCAACAATTACAGGCAGTACCTGCAGGTACATTGCTAAATCTAGCCCACTTTCGAATGCTCCCCTAAATTTAGTACCATATTTGTTGTATCGTTAAATAAACAGAACAAAAAAACCCCCAGAATAACAAACCCCCAAACCCAAAAGGAATACTTTTCTGATCTAATGAAATGAAGTTCATCACATTTAGGGTTTTTCCTTTTGCTTTTCCAACAAATATTGTGGGATTACCTTGGTATTTGAAAATCTGGAAGTAAAACAGAACTGTAGCTGATAATTAAGGTAGAATATCTCTGATTAACCCAGGGAGTTAGTGGAGAACATTCTCTATAAGGGAAAATTGCTTCATTTGAAATGGCTTAAATCTTTTCACTCTCAGGGCAGTTTGTAGTGTACACTTCTTTGTTCAGGTTGCTAAAAGGAAGGGGACTACTGAAGGTACAGATTTTTTGTTGTTTTACTTTAAGGTGGTTCAATGTTGGTTTTTTCACTCTGTAGCAAAGGTACCTACAACCTCTGTGTGGCACTCTGTTCACTTTTTATTCCTTAAATGATTTCAGAAGAACTAAGCAAACTATATGAATCTGACTTACTGTCCTTATGACCAAAGGAGGAAGAAAATAATTCTGAAACATTTAAAGTGGGATTTAATTTCCAACAGCATTAATGATAATGCAAATATTTTATTAGAAGTTTATGCTTAATCCACAAATGTTCAGCTAAAAAAAGCCCAAACGAAGTATGATTCAAAAAGAACAGCAGTTGCATTACAGTTATGTCATACAACACAACAGACATACTGAACTCTCAGGTGCACTGCTCTGCATCTCCTTCTGGTAGGACTCGGCTGTTTGTTTTTCCTAAAGATACCCAAACTGACACAACGAAGTAAGCAAATTTCACAGAAGAGCAAAATGTAGCCATTAAAGATGCCGACATTACACCTCTACTGACACTTAATCCTACTAAACACCCGAGCGACACAAGTTCAGCCAACTGCTGGCGGCACCGCTCCCGCGCCGCGAGGGAAAGGAGCGGCACCCACCGCCCACGGCAACGGCGAGAGGCTGCGCCCCCTTTCCCGCGCCGATCCTCTTCCCCTCCCTCCCGCCCCTCACCCCGCTGCAAACTTTCTGCCTGCCGCGGCACGGCCGCTGACACGGCTTCCGAGCCGCTGGGGCAGCGGGATGCCAGCGCCGCCTCCCAGCCCTCCCCGCCGCACCCCTGGCGGGAGCAGCACAGCTTCAGGGACCCGGCTGAGGTGCCGGAGCACGAAGCGGTTCTCGCCGAACAAACCGATGTGCAACCCTACACGGAGGGCTGCCTCCCGCCTTCCTCCTCCGCCTCTCGCCGCTCGGCCAGCAGCGGCAGGAAAACTTTCCAGGTGACGCTTGCCCTCTCCCGGCACTCGAGGCGTGTCGGGCCGGGCCGGGCCGGGCAGGCGTGCGGGGCTGTTACCTGATGTCCCCGCTCGGCTGCAGGACAGGGCAGAGTCCCCGCGGTCCCCTTCATGCCCGAGGGGCTGCCGAGCCCGCCCTGAGGCACACGCCTTCATCCAGCCGCCTCTCCAAGGGCTGCGCCTCCTTTCCTCGCCCTGGCGGGGCGGCGGACGCGGGGCGGGCGCCGCTCTCGCGGTCTCGCCGGCGCGGCAGGGAGGGAAGGAGGAACAGAGGGCGGGAGCGGGGGGGAGGAGGAGGAGGAGGAGGAGGAGAAGCCGAACAGAGGGCGGGAGGAGAGCTGTGCCCTCCCTGTCTCCGCCCCAGCCGCCGAGCGGACACACAGCAGTCGGAGAGCGGCCGCGCTGCCCGCGTTGCCCGTGCCGCCGTGCCACCATGGGAAGTGCAGAGGGTTCCTCTGAGTGCCTCTGCGCCAAGGCTGAGCTCTGTCTGCCCGGCTTTCGGGTCGGGACAGGGCGCAGCCGGAGCCTCTGGAGGGCGCCCCCATCCCGCCTGGCGCTATCGCAGAGCGCGCCTGCGCCTGGTGTTTGGGATCGTTGGATGTTTGGGGGATGGAGTTTGGGATCGTTGGCGGGGGCAGTGTGGGCGATAAAGAGGGAAACTGGACGTGACGGAGGAGAAAGGTGGCGTGCAGATCGGGAGATGACAAATTTTACAAGAAAGGTGTTCAGAAAGGCAGAAAGAAGTGAATACCAGTGGGATATCTGAAGAGGAGAAAGGAGTAGAAAAGCGGTGTCGGGCAACAAAGAGGAGAACCTATCCTGTGAGTGGTCAAGGGCAGGGTTTTGGAAGGTGAGGAGATAAGGTGTTTGAGGAAACCAAAATTTTACTGGGCTTGGCAGGAAATACATGTGAAACCGAGATGATGGATATGGAGAAGAAGTTTGACTGCCTTCTCCTAGAGTTTAGAAAAATGAGCCACTGAGGAAGCGATTTTAGCTTAAAAGGGATTTTATTTAGGAGAAATATGCATAAAGCATTGGAAAAGTAAGAAATAAGCACTGCAGGCATTGCTGGACAAAAAGGAACTCTGAGATAAAAAGAACAAGTCGCAGCTTGAAAGAGCTAGTGCTTTTGAGCAGAACACACACACTACTTGGCTGAAAGGAGGTAGGAGTATTGGTTCTATATGGGATAGAAATTACACTGTCCAGAAACTTTTTCTGTAAGAATTGTGCAGTATATCTTTTTCTGGCAAATCATGCCATACCACATGGGTAGTGGAGAGTTGGATTCAGGCTTTCCATACTGAACTTACCTTTACAGTCAGTGCAGCAAAGTGGACCCTGAACATGCTGGACTAGCTGTAAAAGCAATATTTCCTATAGAGTTGATATCATCCTAGTCCTTGGAGAACTGAATTGAGCTTTAGCTTTTAGCCAACCCAATCTGAAGCATGTATGGTCATGTAGATTCAGTGCTTTAAGTGTTTACTCATGGGAAGGGACTAAATTCATGCTGCTGAACTGAACTGCCCATGTGTGTTTACTGTCCCTCAAGTGGAAGATGACAGAGATATGAGACAGCATACACACTGGGATATATGGAACTGAAGCAGAAATTACTGTGTTTACACTGAATTGTGTCATTTAAATATTTACTGCATAAATGAGAGGAAAAAATGCTGAACATCAAATTCATCTCTTCATCCAGATGATGAATTATGTGTCTAATAACCCTTCCTCCATTGACTTCCTGCAAGTTTTAGCATGACTTACAACACTTTAAAGTGCTTTGTTTTTAAAGTCAGAGTCTCATTCTGGTCTATTCTAACCCCTTGCATTTCAGCAATTTTGGGACCAGCTCTAGTGAACTGTAGTAAACTTGCATCTGGGACAAGACTTGTGTTGTATGGGTGATTTACAATAAGCAGAGTATTATAGGCACAGGCTAGCCAGGGTATAGGTTGGATTAATATAGAAAAAAACAAGAAAAAAAAAAAGAAAAGCTAGCCTGCTTTAGTGTAGGACTGTGTAATCCATATCTTTCCCTTTGTTTTTCTCTCTTCATTTTTCTTCCTGCCCTTCATTGTGCAGAATCTTTCTTCTTCTTAAAGCGCATCAATCCTACCACTGTACTAGTGTCTAACAATAGTTCTGCATATTTTGTATGTATAGAAATTTTTATTTCTATAAATAAATCCCTACCAGGGATTTGGAGGATGATAACTTCAGTAGCCATCTCTTGCATAAAAATGGTGTGCCAGTCTGGGCTTCCAGGTGCTGTGGTAGTATTGGTGAAAATAGTGATGGTTAACAGTAAACATTTAGCTCTTTGTTCATAGGAGTTGGAAGTTCACTGGGAGTTACCTTTGGAGCTGCCGCTCAGGATTGGTAAAAATTCTATATATATGAAAGAAGGCAAGATCAGCATTTTAAAGTTATTTCTGAGCTTTATTGTCCCTGTTTTTTTGGTGGTCATTGTAAAGATCTGTAGCTAATCAGGAAATCTTTTGTGAGAGGCCTCTCTCAGAGGTGCTGTTTTCTACCAGTTTGTACTGTGTGTAACAATTTTCTTTTGCTCCCTTGAACTGTTATGTATCTGAATTTAAGATAGTGTACTGCAAATGATTTTCCTGGATACAGTAGCAAGCTAAATCAAAATCAGTAGAAAATTCAGTCACTTTCTTAAAAGTATGTACTTGTTAACATACTGTAATGTTCATGGATTTGTAAATCCAAAATATTATTTTAAAAATTATTGGTACAAGTAAAACACTCACAGTATGTTTTAATCACCGGGATAGCATTAGAATTTGATATGTTGATCACCTAGATTCAAAGGTAGTAATATCTTGTGGATAAGAATCTATTTCATATCAAATATAATATTGCATTATTGATAACAGCTGTAAAATCCCTGGAGAAAACACATTTATTTTGAGTGGCTGTGTATTCACTTCTTTTTGAAGACAGATGGCTTGTACAGTGAAATAAACAATGAGTGAGTTAAGAACATAAAGATGTTTGGTTTTGTAATTAACTGGCTAACATGTGGGTGGGTTCAGTTTTGTGGCATCTGTACCATCATGTTCACCTTATCCTTCCTCACCTGTCCCCATCCCCCATCCATCCCTCATTTGCCATGTTGCTTATGTCTTTTTTTTGGATTCCTACTCAGCTGTAATAGAAGCTAAATGACTTTTCCAATAAAGAAACTCAAGGTCAGAGCTGGGAGTAGCTCATACCAACAGCATGGATCCACCTGTACTCAGCTGGCTTATAGCAGCTTACCCATTCTTCTCTAAAGATGCAGCCTTTGGGTTATGATATGACTTCTCACTGTGCTGTCACGTACCATGTAGCTGTTAATCTGCCAACATAGCCCTACCCTTCAGAAATTATATACTGGATTGTGAAAGAGCCGTGTTGTTTCTGGAAAATCTCTCTGGCTCATGCTGCATATCCAATACAGTTGCAAAACCCCCCAAAAACAAATGAAAAAAAACCCCAAAAACAAAGCCTAACAACAAAATGAACAAACCCCCTAGAGTTCCTAATGTTTTCAAGGATTATGCCTGAGTAATCAGCTTCCTTCTGAGAAAAAAATCTTAGGTGGTTTTGTGAGGCCGTCTCCCTGGACACCATCCAATCTGTGTAAGTTCAAGGTCCAAAAATGCAAGGTGGTCTATCTCTGGACTAAAGGATGCAACAACTGTCCTACAGCTATGTACCATCACCTGCTTTTTCTGTGAGAACTTACATAAAACATAAAGCAAGCCCTTGACAGCATGCTATCCCCTTTAAGAAAGACAGGGCTTTATCTGAGCTCCATGGTAAGGTATCAGTAATAGCTCTCCTCTTGAAATCTAAGGGTGGGATGACAGGGTGTTTTTTCACATTCAGACGGTGTCCATGAAAAGGTCTCAGTCTAGATATAAGCTGCAGAGGACTGTAGCCCACAGACGACCTTTAGTGCTTCTTATAACCCTGAGATCCCGAGACACGTAGAAATTCATACATGCTCCTCTTCATTTTTTCTGTTGCCCATTTTGTTTCTCGTACAGCATCTGGAACCCATGCCTCTCAAAGTTGTTTATGCTCTTTGTATAGCCTACAAAAAGCTAAGTGCATCCTGAGCATTCCGGAGAATGCTTTTGAAGATTCCTGTCTACTGTTCATTCTACAAGAACTTCGGCGGTTATTTGAGGATTCATTTGTAAACTGAGATTTGCAGCTTTTTCTGGCACCTTCTCCACTGAGGGGCCCCAATGTGTAGGTACTGGCTAAGTCTAAGGCTCCTTTCAACCTAGTAGATTGGACCTACTAGGTCCTACCAAGAGGAAACCCAGACAGGATATATTTTCCTTGGTGTTTTTTTCCTGGTAGGCAATTCTTTGCATGCCTTCCTTGTCTCTTTTTTTCCCTTCATCTTTCTAAAACTTTTTTTCCTTCTATATTTGAATGTACACTTTCAAAGATTTCTTCCTTCAATGTGATTTTCCTGTGATTAATTTCATCTACACATTTTGCTTGTCTTATTGCACCCTTTAGGTCTGAACAATATGAATGCACTGTTAGCAGAGTGAACCCAGTTCTGATTTCTACCAGTTCTGTACCAATTTATATTGTATTATTTTCTTCTCAATTGCTATTTTATCTTTTTTTTTTTCTATCTGTGGAGAAAGGGATAAACTAATTAGATATTAAATGCCATATTGCAGTTCTAAATAAGGAATTATTAATTAGAAATAACCTTTAATTATGACACATTTTGTCACAAGATGTGTCCTGTAGGTCAGACATTGTCTGTAATTTAAGTTTTTAAAATTTTTAAAATTTTTTAGGTTTTTTTTTTTAATTCTACCTGCTTAAACAAAATCAGTCAGTGATACAATGCAGTTGGATAAGTGTTTTGGTAGTGTTATGGTAAGGATTGTTCATAAGCATGAAAGTGTTATTGTAAAGCATTTGTAGTAGGGTGACAATTGCTTGAAAAAATAATTGTCTCACAATGATGTATGACTAAGACTTGTTGTTTTTTTTTTTAAAGGAATTATTTCCTGAACTTACTAGAATCTTTATCTCTGTAGTCATACAAAGAAGATGGATCTCTGTTATAGGTATTCTAGCAGTGGTTTAAACAAGCCCTTTAATATCTATCTGAAAGTGGGCTCTAGAGCATTGTTTACCAGGATTTTTGTTTTCCTTTGGGTTTGGTTTTATTTTTTCTAT